TGAAGGTTCACAGTTCAACAGACGTGAAATTAAACAGGTCTGCTTTAGTTGGAGTGAGTCCGGAGGAAGCCAACCCATCTATATAAATAAAAATGTAATGTTCGTTTGTGGGATTAACAGAACTTAAAAACCACTGGACGAATTGACACCAAATTTGGCAGCAAAACACATTCTAATCCGATATATGTCTTTCAAACAAAAAACCCCCATAAAAATGAAGGGGAAATAACTTTAAACTCCCCTAAAAGAAAAATGCCTTACAGAGAATGCGCAAAAGCCCCTCTCCCCATTGCGCAAGAAGAATGAAGCACCAACTGTTGTGAGGGAAGAGAAGCCTCGCCATGGAGTCCCTTTCCATTCAGGAAGGCAGAGTCCTTTTCCTTTTGGGGAAGGGAGGGATTGAGGAAAGAGGGAAGGAAGAAGGCCTGGTGCAATGGAGGTGTGGGGGCTTGGCAAGGCAAGCCCCAGCAGCAGCTGGAGCCACCGCAGAGGCTCCATGAGGCCCACGTGGATACCAGGCAAGTCTTCCCCAAGACCAGAGGATTGCAAGGCAAGCCTGGCTGCAGGAGCAGCTTCACCCCCCCCCCCCCCACGTTGGGTGCAGGAGCAGCTTCACCCCCACGTTGGGTGAAGGGAGGATGCGAACCATGAGGCCAGCAACTCTCCCACTTGGGCTCCACATCCCCCCCTTTCACCCCCCCCCCCAAAAAACCCTTTAAAACCCTTATAAACTGTCCCGGAGGAAGGAGGGAAAAGAAAGGGAAAGAAGAAAGGAAGAAAAGGATTGGTGAAGAGAAGAGAAGATTATGAATGGAAGGAAAGGTTTATTAACTGTGTAATGTGTAGGCTGTTAATTGTTTTTATACTGGCATTGAATTCTTGCTGTTCTTCTTTGTTGTAAACCGCTGTGAGTCGCCTTCGGGCTGAGAACAGCGGTATATAAGTAAGGTAAATAAATAAATAAATAAAATTATTAAATATTTTAATGAAATGGAAGGAACAAAAAAGAAAGAAAGAAAGAAAGAAAGAAAGAAAGAAAGAAAGAAAGACAGAAAGGGGGGAAATGGTGAAGAGAAGAATATAGAGTCAGAGAATCCTAGAGTTGGAAGAAGTAGGAAAATCACAATCAAAGCATTCCCAACAGATGCCCACCACCTCTATTTCAAAGAGGCTTTTTGAGTGTTTTGGCCAGCATGAATATAACCAAAAAGCCTTGCAGTTTCAGTGGCTGCTTCTCGTTACTTTATTTTCCATACCACCTTGCACCTTAACAGCCTGGCTTCTACTAGCCAGCGGGAAACCTTTGGTGGGAGGAGTTCCCTAGCCCACATTGCTTCATGTCTGCAAATCCTCTGTTTTCTGAGGGCCACAGCAACGCATGGCTGGGTACAGCTAGTCTTCTATATAAATATAAATGTAATGTTCGTTTGTGGGATTAACATAACTCAATAACCACTAGGCGAATTGACACCAAATTTGCACACAATACACCTATCAGGCCAACGAGTGATCATCACTCATAAAAACACTGAAAAACACAGTGGTAGAGACTTAAAAAGCCAAAAAAATAAAAAATTACATTACAACGCATGCACAAAACCACATATATACAGATATATATACACACAAAACACATATACACAAACTGGGCCACAGCAACGCGTGGCTGCTAGTTTATTATAATATTGTACAGGCACTCCCCAAGTTACAATTCGCTTCTGGCACAGTACTTACTTACATAGGCAATCCCTCGTAGCTCAAGGATTATTGTCTTCCTGATATGGATCTTGGTGATGGGTCTATAGGTGGCTGTGGAGCCCTACTCTTGATCCGCATGTTCTCCCGCAGTGAGGACATCAGTTTCCAGACGGAAGGTGGTCCTGGTCAGGGTTGGTTTGTCACGCCTTCCTCTTGGCACGTTTCTCTTTTTCACCCTCCTCTTCAAATTCTGCAGCACTGCTGGTCACAGCTGATCTCCAGCTGGAGCACTCAAGGGCCAGGGCTTCCCAGTTCTCTGTGTCTATGCCAGAGTTTTTAAGGTTGGCTTTGAGCCCATCTTTCAATCTCTTTTCCTGTCCTCCAACATTCCGTTTTCTGTTCTTGAGTTCGGAGTAGAGCAACTGCTTTGGGAGACGGTGGTTGGGCACCCGGACAACGTGGCCAGTCCAGTGGAGTTGATGGCGGAAGACCATCGCTTCAATGCTGGTGATCTTTGCTTCTTCCAGCATGCTGACATTTGTCCGCTTGTCTTCCCAAGAGATTTGCAGGATTTTTCGACAGCAACACTGATGGAATTGTTCCAGGAGTTGCATGTGATGTCTGTAGACAGTCCATGTTTCACAGGCATATAGCAGGGTTGGGAGGACAATCTATATAAATAAAAATGTAATGATCGTTTGTGGGATTAACAGAAGCCAAAAACCACTGGGGGAATTGACACCAAATTTGGACACAAGACACCTAAGAACCCAATGGTTGTCCTTCACTCATAAAAACACTGAAAAACTCAGCAGAAGGGACTTGAAAAGGCCCAAAAAACTAAATGACAAAAAGCTAAACGACAATACAGAAAAAAGGGAAGAAAGAGGGAGGGAAAGGGAGAGAAAAAAGAAAAAGAAAGAAAAGAGGGGGAAAGAAAGAAGGAAAGGGAGAAGGAAGCATGGAAGCAAAGAGAGAAGGAAGGAAGGAAGTAGAGAAGGAAGAAAGGAGAGAAAGAGGGAGGGAAAGAAAAAGAGGAAGGAAGAGAGAGAAGGAAGAGAAGGAGAGAAGGAGAGAAAGGGAGGAAAGAAAAAGGGGGAGGGAAGGAAAGTAGAGAAGGAAGGAGAGAATGAAAGAAAAAGGGAAAGAAGGAAGGGAAAGGAAGAGGGATGAAGAAAGGAGGGAGGGAAGAAAGAAGGAAGGAAGAAGAGAGAAAGAAAAGGTGGAAAGGAAGGAAGAGAGAGAGAAGGAAGAAGAGAAGGAAGGAGGAAGGGAGGGAGGGAGGGAAGGAAGGAGGAGGAGGGAGGGATGGAGGGAGGGAGGGAGGGAGGGAGGGAGGAAGGAAGAGAAGGAAGGAAGGAAGGAAGGAAGGAAGGAAGGAAAGGGAAGGAAGAGGGAAGGAAGGAAGGAAGAGGGAGGGAAGGTTGACCACAGCAACGCGTGGCGGGTACAGCTAGTAGCTTTATAAACAAGCACCTTGGTATCCTTATGGACATCCAGGCCCTCAAACACTCTCTGCTTCATTCGGAAAAATGCTGCACTTGTCTCAGGGTTTTTGTTTTTTCTTTGTTGTGTCAGGAGTGACTTGAGAAATTGCAAGTCGCGTCTGGTGTGAGAGAATTGACCCTCTGCAAGGACATTGCCCAGGGGATGCCCAGATGATTTGATGTTTTTATCATCCTTGTGGGAGGCTTCTCTCGTGTCCCCGCATAAGGAGCTGGAGCTGATAGAGGGAGCTCATCTGCCTCTCCCCGGATTTGAACCTGCGACCTGTCCTGCGACCTGCAACCTTCAGTCCTGCCGGCACAGGTGTTTAACCCACTGCACCACTGGGGTCTCAGGGTAATGTGCAAGTAAAATAATGTTACACGGAGGAGAGCAAGTCAGAATAATACATCAACTTATATTTAATGAGCAAAAGGGATGCCAAACAAAACCTGCCAAGGTGCCACACAACTTGTTATTGTTTTCAATGAGCTTTTTTATCCAAGGTGTTTAAGGGAATATACAATGATAGTCTTCCTTTAGCCTCAGAACAATCTTGTGAAACTGCAACTCCCAGGATCCCATAGCATTGATCCCTGATAGTGTGCTCAAACTGCATTCATTCAACAGTGTAGACACATAGGGTTTGCTCCATAGGCTTTGCTTATGAGCCACCACTTATGGGATTTTGCTATAGGGCAGTATTTCTCAACCTTGCTAATGCCGTGACCCCTTAATCCAGATCTTCATGTTGTGGTGACCCCCAACCATAACACTATTTTCGTCTCTCCTTCATAACTGTTATGAATCGTCATGTAAATATCTGATATGCAGGATGTATTTTCATTCACTGGACCAAATTTGGCACAAATACCTGCTATGGCCACATTTAGTGGGGTTGGGTTTGGATTGGCTTTGTCATTTGGGAGTTGTAGTTGCTGGGATTTTTAGTTCACCTGCAATAAAAGAGCATTCCGAACTCCACCAAAGATGGAATTGAACCAAACGTGGCACACAAAACTCCCATGTCCAACAGAGAAGGGTTTGGTGGACATTGACCTTGAGGTTTGGAGTTGTAGTTTACCTACATCCAGAAAACACTGTGGATTCAAACAATGATGGATCTGGACCAAACTTGGCAAAAATACTCAATAGACCCAAATGTCAACACCGGTGGAGTTTGGGGAAAATAGACCTTGACATTTGGGAGTTGTTGTTGCTGGGATTTATAGTTCACCTACAATCAGAGCATTCATGTAAATATCTGATATGCAGGATGTATTTTCATTCACTGGGCCAAATTTGGCACAAATACCCGCTACGGCCACATTTGGTGGGGTTGGGTTTGGATTGATTTTGTCATTTGGGAGTTGTAGTTGCTGGGATTTATAGTTCACCTGCAATCAATGAGCATCCTGAACCCCACCAACGATGGAATTGGACCAAACTTGGCACACAGAACTCCCATGACCAACAGAATATACTGGAAGGGTTTGGTGGTCATTGACCTTGAGTTTTGGAGTTGCAGTTCACCTACATCCAGAGAGCACTGTGGATTCAAACAATGATAGATCCGGACCAATTGGGCTGAACTTTGCACACGGAACCCCCATGAACAACAGAAAATACTATGTTTTCTGATGGTCTTTGGTGATCTGTCTGACACCCCCTTGCTTCCCACCCAGGGGTCCCAACCCCTAAGTTGAGAAAAGCTGCTGTAGGATATTTTTTCTAAAAATAAAGGTTACCTCTAAATCAGGCCTGGGACAACTTTGGCCCTCCCTCCAGGTGTTTTGGACTTCAACTCCCACAATTCCTAACAGCCTACCGGCTGTTAGGAATTGTGGGAGTTGCAGTCCAAAACACCTGGAGGGAGGGCCAAGTTTGCCCATGCCTGTCAAATTGATGCAGTTTAGCAAGACTTTTACTTTCATGTCTAAATGCTACAGAATCCTGGGAGTTGTAGTTTGGTGCGGCACCAGCATCCTTCAGCGGACTTTGTAAAACTACACCTCCCAGGCATTGAGACATGGCAGCTGCATTCCATAGCATAGGAATTGTGGGAGTTGAAGTCTAAAACACCTGGAGGGAGGGCCGAAGTTGGCCCAGGCCTATTCGAAATTCTGTATATTAAAATAAAAATAGATCAACATTGCGTCCATTAAAAAAAATAAAACAAGTGATGCATCATAATCTGAATAGATGCACAACAGAATGTGAAACATCGCAACACACGCAAGTGCAGTTTCTCCGCGATGCCTGAGCCAAGGTGGTGTTTATTTGACGTCAGTTTCTGCTTTCTTGCGCCGACGAGAAAGGAGTGGCAGAACTTTGCACTGGGAAAGAAGGTGACCCGGGTCCAAAGCCTGGCGTAGGATCCATTTATAAGGATGCAGCATCCATTCCGGTTGAGGGTTCAGTCATCCGAATCCGTATCGTGCCTCTTCCTGGCTTTGGGCGAAGAAGGGCTCCTCCTCCGGCTTCTGCTGGGGCTGCCTCTCCGGCCGTCCCTCCGTTCTGCTTTCGGGGAACGCGACCTTGAGTGGTGTCTATGAGACGAGGACCCCTTCCCTGTGCCGCCTGAGGACGCTGCTGTCTTGTGGCGCCACCCACTGGCCTCTTTCTCTTTCTCTCCTTCCCGGGAAGGAGAGGGGTGTCTGTCCGGGAAGCCGCCTCCGCTCTTCCGGGAGGACGATGGGCGGTGCTGCTCCGAAGGACGCTTCTTTCTGCAAACAAAGAGAACGCAGAGGAGATCGTACTGTTTGTTGCACTCCAGGACAGTGGTGCAAAGCCCTCTGACTTTAAACACCACACATTGAATAGGAAAACAATCCTTTTATTGGAGATAATTAAAAAGCAGCAAAGTAAAAAAGCACTTTAAAGAAATAGGTAAATCCGATTAGGTAAGAAGATAAGCAGCAACAAAATAGTCCAGGGTAAAGCACCGGGATTGTGGCGCAGCTAGCTGAGTGTCAGTTGCATTAAGATCACTCTGACCAAAAGGTCATGAGTTCGAAGCCAGCCCGGGTTGGAGTGAATGTCCAACCAATTGTGTAGCTTGTTGTCGACCTTTGCAACCCGAAAGAAAGTTGCATCTGTCAAGTAGGAAAATTAAGTACCACCTAGGTTTGGGGAGGCTAATTTAACTAATTTACGAGGCCATAAAAAAAGACTCCAGCAAAGCACTCCAGGAAAGCATGCGGGGAATGCGGAAGTACTCCATCAGTGTTGCAGATGGACGATGAAAGCAACAGCTCCCCTGACGGCCAGAAAAAGTTAAATAGCCTCTGTGTATGTCTATATACGTTGTATGTCTAATTGGCATTGAATGTTTGCCATATATGTGTACATTGTAATCTACCCTGAGTCCCCTGTGGGGTGAGAAGGGCGGAATATAAATACTGTAAATAAATAAATAAAAATAAATAAAGTTCAGCAAAGTCCATGAAAACTTGTCCATGAAGGGACTATACAAACATAGTAAATAAATAAATAAATAAATAAATAAGTTCGAAGCCCCAGGTCGGCATGAGTGGCTGACTGTCAGCCCTGCTCACTGTTTACCTAAGTAGTTCGAAAACAGCTTTAGCTGTAAATAGAGAAACTAGCGACTGCTAAAAGCGGGGTAGGTGTTTTACAATGCCATAAAGAAGATCAGAAAATGTTGGAATGAGGAAGTCCTGATGGCTCTTCGTCATAGAGGATGGAGCAACAGCACCCCCTGTGGATTCGAGCCCAACTGTCCATGGCATCGAAACAACACCTCCTTCTGTTGTTTGTGTACTGCCTATATAAATGGCAATTACTGTTTGCCATGTATATGTACTTGTGATCTGCCCTATGTCCCCTTCGGGGTGAGAAGGGCAGAATATAAATATAATATAATATAATATAATATAATATAATATAATATAATATAATATAATATAATATAATATAATATAATATAATATAAAATATAATAAATATAATATAATAAATATAATATATATATTAATATAATAATATAAAATATAATAAATAAATAAAAATACCAATAAAAATAAATAAATAATAAGTGTTGTTGTTGTTGTTGTTGTTATTATTATTATTATTATTATTATTATTACCAGGGCATCATTCCTCCAGAGTTTCAGAAATATTCACAAATACACTGATTTTTAGGGTTTTTTCCCCCCAATCTAAGCAATTTAAGTACCTTGGACAAGTCAACACTTTTTCTGGAGCATGATGGAGGCCTAGATGGACAAGCAGCCCAACTAATAAAGATGTACAGACATAAACATACCTTTCCTTGCCATCTGGAGACGAGCAGGAGGAAGATGACGAAGCAGCTCTCCTTTTATGGTGTTTCTCCTTCTTCTTCTCCTTCTTGTGCTTCTTTTTCTTCTTCTTCTCCTTCTTTTTGGATTTCTTGCCGACCTCCGGGCTGCATGGTCAATGGATAATAATTGTATAGCCTGATAAGACCTTACTGTAGAAGCAAATACGAGGGTTGAATGAAAAGTAATGCCTCCACCTTCGTAACTCCTCAACAGGTGGCAGTACTGGTATGTGGCAGGTACTGGCTTGTTCAGTAGACTCTCCTCTACAGTTCCATTTTGCCAGGAAGCCTTAGCATTGAACGGTTGTGTTATTACAGTGCGAAGCATGGAACCCTGCGCAGACGGTCGGTCAATACGACTTAAGCAACGTGCAGATTGAATTTTTGACGGCAGATGGTCGGTCAATGCGACTTAAGCAACGTGTAGTCATTGAATTCTTGACAGCAGAAGGTGTCACCTCAACATCTTTAAACTTACTCACACACAGTACTCACATCAACACAATCACCACAAACAGCTTGCATTCATAGAATCATAAAATCCTAGAGTTGGAAGAGACCTCCTGGGCCGTCCAGTCCAACCCCATTCTGCCAAGAAGCAGGAATATTGCATTCAAAGCACCCCCGACAGATGGCCATCCAGCCTCTGTTTAAAAGCTTCCAAAGGAGGGGCTTCCACCACACTCCAGGGCAGAGAGTTCCACTGCTGAACGGCTCTCACAGTCAGGAAGTTCTTCCTCATGTTCAGATGGAATCTCCATTCTCTGATGAATCTTTGGGGTGGCACCTTCTGCTGTTCTCCCACTTTCCTTGTAGTATTTTTTATGATTTTTGATTTTTATTTTATGTTATTTCAAACTATTAATAAAAAAAGAATTCAATGACTGCACGTTGCTTAAGTTGCATTGACCGAACATTTCTGCAGGGTTCCATACTTCGCACTTTCACAACACAACCGTTCAATGCTAAGGCTTCCCGCCAAAATGGAACTGTAGAGGAGAGTCTACTGAACAAGTCCCTGCCGCATACCAATACTGCCATCTGTTGAGGAGTTACGAAGGTGGAGGCATTACTTTTCATTCAACCCTCGTACTTTTTGCAATGTTGCGTAAGGAAGTATCTTGTACCTCCTTACACAATGGCAGTTGGTTTATATATTAACCCAGGCATGGGCTAACTTCGGCCCTCCCTCCAGGTGTTTTGGACTTCAACTCCCACAATTCCTAACAGACCGGCTGTTAGGAATTGTGGGAGTTGAAGTCCAAAACACCTGGAGGGAGGGCTGAAGTTAGCCCATGACTATATTAAGCCCTCCATCCAAGGAAAAACAAAGCGTGACAGTCTCTTTCTCACCGTGGCTCTTTTGCTACTTCTTCTTCTTCTTCTTCTGTGTCCAGTTTCCTCTTCGTAGTCGAAACCTCTGGGCTGCTGGCCACCCGGTGATGCTAGCCATGGAGAGGAAAAAGAAAGCAAAGTGCTCTAAACTTTTAGGAAAATACAGAGCATGAATTAAGGACTTTGAAACTTGAATGGCTGCTTCTCCTTATATTTATTTATTATTTATTTACAGTATTTATATTCCGCCCTTCTCACCCCGCAGGGGACTCAGGGCGGATTACAGTGTACACATATATGGCAAACATTCAATGCCAATTTGACATACAACATATACAGACATACACAGAGGCTATTTAACTTTTTCTGGCTGCTTTCATCGTCCATCTGCGACACTGATGAAGTACTTCCGCACTCCCCGCATGCTTTTCTGGAGTGCTTTTGCTGGAGTCTTTTTTATGGCCTCATAAATTAGTTCATTTAGCCTCCCCACACAAGGTGGTACCTAATTTTCCTACTTCACAGATGCAACTGTCTTTTGGGTTGCAAAGGTCGACAACAGGCTACACAACTGGTTGGAAGCCCACTCCAACCCGGGCTGGCTTCGAACTCATGACCTTATACAGGGCTGCAGACAAAGTCAATTTGGAAGTCCGCAGAAAATGAAAACTGAACACTATCTGGAAATGTATATAAGATTAGACTTAATCAATTAGACATCATATTATATCAATGTATGTAGGAAAGAGGTTTTGTTTTCTTTGTTCCTTTTTCTCCTTTCTTCCCTCTTCATTGTGTCTTTTTTCCCTTTTCTTCTCTCTTGCCATTTCTCCCTTTTTTTCCTTCCCTCATATCTTTTCCCTTTTTCTCTTTTTCCGTTCCCTCCCTCTTCCTTCTCCCTCGCCTTCTTTCTCTCTTCCTTTATACCTTTCCCTCTTTCCTTTTCTTTTCCTCTTTTCCTTCTATCTCTTCCCTTCATACATTTCCCCCTTTCCTTTTTCTTTCTTCCCTTTTCTCCTTCTTCTCTCCCTTTCTTCTTCTCTTCCTTTCTCTTCCCTTCCTTTTTCTTCCTCCCTCTCCTTCCTTTTTTTCTCTCCTTCCTTTCCTTCCCTCTCTCTCCTTCTTTTTCTTCCTTCTCTCTTCTTTTTCTTCTATCTCTTCCCTTCATACATTTTCCCTTTCTTTTTTCTTTCTTCCTTCCTTTTCTTCTTCTTCTCTCTTCCCTCATATATTTTCCCCTTTTCTCTTTTTCTGTTCCCTCCCTCTTCCTTCTCCCTTGCCTTCTTTCTCTCTTCCTTTATACCTTCCCTCTCTCTCCTTCTTTTTTATCTTCCTTTCCTTCTATCTCTTCCCTTCATACATTTCCCCCTTTTCCTGTTTTCTTCTCTTCTTCCCTTTTCTTCTCTTCCTTCCTTTCCTTCTCTTCCTTTATACTTTTTCCCTTCTTCTCTTCCTTCCTTTCCATCTTTCTCTCTTCCTTTCTCCCTTTCTTTTTTCTTCCTTCTCCCTCTCCTTCCTTTTTTCTCCTTCCTTTCCTTTCTTCTCTTTCCTTCCTTTCCTCCTTCCTTTTCCTTCCTTCCTTCCCTTTTCTTCTTTTCTTCTTCTCCTTCCTTTCCCTTCTCCTTTTCTTTTCTACCTTTCTCCTCCTTTTCTTCCTTTTTCTCTTCTTCTTTCCTTTCCCTTTCCTCTTCTTTCCCGCTTTCCCCTTCTTCCTCTTCCTTCTTTTCTCTTCCTTTATCCCTTTTCCTTCCTCTTCTCTTCCTTCCTTCCATCTTTCTCTCTTCCATTATCTTCCTTTATCCCTCTCCCCATTTCCTTTTTCTTCCTTCCTTCACTTGTCTCCCTCCCTTTCTTTCTTTCCTTTTCTTCCTTCACACCTTTGCCCCTTTATCTTCCTTCCTTCCCTTCCTTCTTCTCCCTTCCTTTTCTTTCCTTCATACCGTTCCACTTCTCTTTTTCTTCAATCCCTTCCTTTTCTTCCTCTCTCCCTCCTTTCCCCTTCTCATTCTCTTCCTTTCTTTCTCTTCTCTTCCCTCCTGTCTTGCCTTTCCCATTTCTTCCTTCCTTTTTATTTATACCATTCCTTCTCCCTTTCCTTTTACTCTTTCTTTCCTCTATTAGCTTCTCACATGTCGGCAATCAAGAGCCCATCTGCTTCACCCCTTTATATTTCCCAGTCACATGACAAGAAGGACACTTCCCCTCGACACAGCCAATCCACTTCGTTCCTTTCCTTTCGGCATGAAACAGGTGGGTTCTTTTGTGGTACAATACTTACACACACACACACACACACATAAACAGTGTGTTATCGTTGCTATTAAATTTGAGATGGCAGCCATTGGGAACATGGACGGCAATGCTAACTACTTACCGTAAAAACCGACAGGCCCAATTTGGCGGCTTCCTTTTCTTCTTTGGAAAACATCATCCGGCCCCCAGCACTCCTGCAAAGACATCGGACGGGAATGAAAGCACGGCAACTTCAGGAATAGTAAATAACACTGTGCAACACGATTTCTGTTCCAGAGTTATCAATGTCATTTCCTAATTCGTTCTATCATAAAAACATGGGAAAATTTATTATGCTGCCAATACTTTGTTTTTTTGTGGGACATCCTGCAGCAGCACATTTTGCGAGAGTTTTGCAGCTTCACCTCCCAACAAAGGATTCCCCCAACCAGGAAGCAGCCAGGCTTCGAAGCTGCAAGGCCATTCAATGCTAATCAAGGTGGCCAACTGCAACATTCACACTTGCCTCCAGCGGACAAGGGTTCTTTCTCCTACCATAGACATAATTTTAGATATTATTTATTTATTTATTATTAGCTGTCCCTTGCCACACGTTGCTGTGGCCCAGTCTGGTAATCTGGAAAATAAAGTAATAAGTAATCTCACTCTCTCTGAGGATGCCTGCCATATATGCAGGTGAAATGTCAGGAGAAAATGCCTCTAGAACATAGCCATATAGTCTGAAAAAACCTACAACAACCTAATGAGAAAGTGTTGGTTTCTAATATATATAATTTCTTGATGCTTGTGAGTAAACAGTATTTCTTGCTGTTTCTTTGTCAGTGTTGATGTGGAGAATGTCTGGTTTGCCTATTCTGGAACATGCAACATATTATTGTCCTTCTTCAAGGTTCCCTTTCAAATCTATAATACTATATCTGTGTGTGTGTGAACCATATATATCTATCTATATTTATGACTGGATGGCTCTTTGTCAGGAGGGCTTTGATGATGTTTTCTTGCCTTGGTGAAGGGAGTTGGACTGGGTGGCCTTAAGTATTTTCTGTTGGTCCGGGGGGTTCAGTGTGGGAAGTTTGCCTCAATTCTGTCGTTGGTGGGGTTCAGAATGCTCTTTGATTGTATAAATCCCAGAAACTACAACTCCCAAATGTCAAGGTCTATTTCCCCCAAACTCCATCTGTGTTCATATTTGGGAATATGGGATATTTGTGCCAAGTTTAGTCCAAATCCATCATTGTTTGAGTCCACAGTGCTCGCTGAATGTAGGTGAACTACAACTCCCAAAGTCAAGGTCAATGCCCACCAAACCCTTCTAGGGTTTTCTGTTGGACAGAGGAGTTCTATGTGCCAAGTTTGGTTCAATTCCATCATCAGTCAAGTTCAGAATGCTCTTTGATTGTAGGTGAACTATAACTCCCAAATTTCAAGGTCCATTTCCCCCCAAACGCCATCTGTGGGCATATGGGATATTCGTGCGAAGTTTCCCTACATCCTAGCAACTACAAGTCCCTAAATCCCAGCAACTACAAGTCCCAAATGACAAAATCAGTATTTTTTGAGTGATGGTCACTACTTGGGTTAGTAGGTGTCTTGTGACCAAATTTTGTGTCAAACTTTCCAGTGGCTTTTGAGTTATGTTAATCCCACAAACAAAAACATTACATTTTTATTTATATAGATTTATGGTATTTCTAACCCGCCTTTCTCAGCCCTAAGGCCACTCAAGGCAGCTTACAGATGGGCAGCAATTTGATGCTACAGTAATCGTAAAATACAAATAAAAACATTTAGCGTAATTATAAAAACCATATGAAAACAATTAAAATTATATAATCACCAGTGTCATCCTGTTAAACTCATTTTCCATCTATAAACCCCACTTGCCTAGTTTCCAACAGAGCACACAATCTCTGAGGATGCCTGCCATAGATGTGGGAGAAACATCAGGAGAGAATGCTTCTGGAACATGGCCATACAGCCCGGGAAACTCCCAGAGGAAGAGACTCCACAAGACAATGAGATGGTCTCACTCCTCAATATATGAAAAGACCCTCCAAGTTACTTACCTCGAACTCCCCAAGCCCAAGACGCGATCCACACCCTTCTCGTCTTGCTCCGCAGTGTCCCGCTTACAGACCTCAGCAAGATCCTAAAAGGGAATGGCATAATCAAATGTGAACCACCTGAGATGGAGCCAATGTTTCCTGCCACAGATCAATTGGGATGCCTCTAAGGCAGTGGTTCTCAACCTTCCTAATTCCACGACCCCTTAAAACGTTTCCTCATGTTATGGTGACCCCCAACCATAAAATTAGTTCCGTTGCTACATCATAACTGTCATTTTGCTGCTGTTATGAATAGTAATGTAAATATCTGATATGCAGGATGTATTTTCATTCACTGGACCAAATTTGGCACAAATACCAATACACCCAAATTTGAATACTGGTGGGATTGGGGGAGGGCATTGATTTTGTCATTTGGGAGTTGTAGTTGCTGGGATTTATAGTTCACCTACAATAAAAGAGCATTCTGAACTCTACCAACGATGGAATTGAATCAAACTTGGCACACAGAACTCCCATGACCAACAAAAATTACTGGAAGGGTTTGGTGGGCACTGATCTTGAGTTTTGGGAGTTGTAGTTCACCTACATCAAGAGAGCACTGTGGACTCAAACAATGATGGATCTGGACCAAACTTCGCACGAATTCTCAATAATCCCAAAGATAAACACTAGTGGAGTCTGGGGGAAATAGACCTTGACATTTGGGAGTTGTAGTTGCTGGGATTTATAGTTCACCTACAATAAAAGAGCATTCTGAACTCCAACGATGGAATTGAATAAACTTGGCACACAGAACTCCCATGACCAACAGAAAATACTGGAAGGGTTTTGGTGGCATTGACCTTGAGTTTTGGAGTTGTAGTTCACCTACATCAGAGAGCACTGTGGACTCACAATGATGGATCTGGACCAAACTTGGCACAACTCAATATGCCCAAAGTAAACACTGGTGGAGTTTGGGGAAAATAGACCTTGACATTTGGGAGTTGTAGTTGCTGGGATTTATGTTCACCTACAATCAAAGAGCATTCTGAACCCACCAACGATAGAATTGGGCCAAACTTCCCACACAGAACCTCCATGACCAACAGAAAATACTGTGTTTTCTGGTGGTCTTTGATGACCCCTCTGACACCCCCTCGCGACCCCTCCAGGGGTCCCGACCCCCAGGTTGAGAAACACTGCTCTAAGGGGATCGTGGTATCCACAGATTAGGGAAATGTGCTGCAGGATGTCCCACAAAAATAAAGTTTTTGCAGTTCAATACACTTTTCCCCTTGTTTTTATGATAGAGCCTATTAGGAAATGACATTTATAACCCAGGAACAAAAATCATGTTACACAGTGTAATCTGAAGGTGCAGAACGACAAATAATTTGACAAGTAAACCTCTTGGGAGGTAATCTATATAAATAAAAATGTAATGTTAGTTCATGCTACCATCAGAACTCAAAAACCACTGGGGGAATTGACACCAAATTTGGACACAAGACACCTAACAGTCCAATTTATGTCCTCCACTCAAAAAAAATTGATTTTGTCATTTGGGAATTGTCGTTGCTGGGATTTATAGTTTACCTACAATCAAAGAGCATTCTGAACTCCACCAATGATGGAATTGAACCAAACTTGGCACACAGGACTCCCATGACCAACAGAAAAAACTGGAAAGGTTTGGTGGACATTGACCTTGAGTTTGGGAATTATAGTTCACCCACATCCAGAGAGCACTGTGGACTCAAACAATGATGGATCTGGACCAAACTTGGCACGAATATTCCATATGCCCAAATATGAACACAGATGGAGTTTAAGGGAAATAGACCTTGACATTTGGGAGTTGTAGTTGCTGGGATTTATAGTTCACCTACAATCAAAGAGCATTCTGAACTCCACCAATGATGGAATTCAACCAAACATGGCATACAGGACTTCCATGACCAACAGAACACACTGGAAGGGTTTGGTGGGCATTGACCTTGAGTTTGGGAGTTGTAGTTCACCTACATCCAGAGAGCACTGTGGACTCAAACAATGATGGATCTGGACCAAACTTGACAGAAATACTCAATATGCCCAAATGTGAACACAGATGGAATTTGGGATTTGTAGTTACTGGGATGTATAGTTCACTACAATTAAAGAGCATTCTGAAACCCACAAATGACAGAAATGGGGCAAACTTCCCACACAGAACCCCCATGACCAACAGAAAATACTTAAGGCCATCCAGTCCAACTCTCTTCACCAGGCCAAGAAAACGTAATCAGAGCCCTCCTGACAAAGAGCCATCCAGTCATAAATATAGATAGATAGATATGATTCTCTCTCTCACACACACAGATATAGTATCACAGATTTGAAAGAGACCCTTAAAGAAGGACTATGATATGTTGCATATTCCAGAGTAGGCAAACCAGACACTCTCCACATCAACACTGACAAAGAAACAACAAGAAATACTGTTTACTCACAAGCATCAAGGAATTACATAGATTAGAAACCAACACTTTCTCATTACTTTATTTTCCAGATCACCAGACTGGGCCACAGTAACGCATGGCAGGGGACGGCTAGTTTCCAATAAAGGAAGAAGCATTCAAAATGGTAAAGCATCATAGAATCCTAGAGTTGGAAGAGACCTCATGGGCCATCCAGTCCAACCCCGTCAAGAAACTGGAAAATCACATTCAAAGCATCCCCGACAGATGGCCATTCAGCCTCTGCTTAAAAGCCTCCAAAGAAGGAGCCTCCACCACAGCAGCAATTCAGAAACGTCTACTGGCAGCAGGAGAGCAACTGAGATTCAGCAATTACAGGAGCAGAGTCAAGCTTAAAAGCTATAAAAGGCTTTATTCAAAGAACTACATAACTAGATAAGAAAGTTAAACAAGGCTTATCTAACTAACTGACAGCAGACATCTTCTCTCTCCATGCTCACAGGAGAAGAACACAATGGAGCTGTCTGTCCCTTAGAAGCATCAGTCTAACCAGTAAAGTAATGGGGGGGGGGGGGAGAGTGACAGGTAGACAGAGAGGCCCATGGGGGGTGGGATTAACCCATTTGCCTATCCAAGTCCTCGATGAGGACTACAAACTTGTGCAGGATGTGACTGAGTCCCAACACATACCTCTTTGCTCAGCCCCGTCGGCTGCTTCTTCACATTCTTATAACCCCTGCAGAGAAGAAGGCAAAAGAAAACCGTGAATTCCACTAAAAGTAGGCAAGAAAGAAAAATGTTCTGGTGGAACTGGCTCTGGGCATCCAATCTGTCCATCCTTGATCTGTCTGATGCAACGCAAAAAGGACGATCCACAGATTGGCTTGCCTACCGAGGCCGTTTTGCAAGACTCAAATTAACTCAAATTTAAGGGTGCGCGCCTTAGATTCACATCCTGCGGTAATCTTAGTGCTAAGCCAAGCAAAAGAAGAAGCTGCTTCAGGAGCCGCGTCTGAAGCTTCTCTTTAAGGAGACCCCCACCTCTAATTTAATTCCCATGCCCCCCGGTGGCGCAACGGGTTAAACCCTTGTGCCGGCGGGACTGCTGACCAAAAGGTTGGAAGTTTGAATCCGGGGAGTGGGCCTAATGTGCATGTGTACTGCGTTGTTATGAACATGTAAATAAAATAGTAATAATATATAATATAATCGATATATATATATGTCATGTTAGTTCAGAAATCACTGGACAAATCGACATGAAATTTTGACACAATACACCTAACAGTCCAATGAGTGTCCATCACCCCTAAAACACTAACCCCCCCCCCCAGTGGAATGGACTTAAAAACTAAAAAAATACCCCCATATACATATACACATACCATCATATACATATACACATGCACACATACACACATGTATACACATGCACACACATATACACAATATACATATACACATATAAACACACAAATACATACACATGTATACACATATACACACATATGCACACACATACATACACCCATATATATATATATATATGTGTGTGTGTGTGTGTGTGTGTGTGCAAACACACACATATACATATATACACAAATATATACACACAGACAACACATATACACATACTGGGCCACAGCAACGCATTATATGTGTATACAATATATTATATTATAAGTACAGCACAATATTAATATTATATATTACTATATTGTACTATATCACTATAGTGTAATATCATTAGTAATATTTCATGTAATATAAAATATATAATTCTTATATTTTCTTATTATTAGCATTATATTGTATTGCATTATAGCATTATTGTCAATATTACATGTGTATTATATTATTAACACAGTACAATATTAGTATTATATATTACTATATGGTACTATACCACGATACTGTAATATCATTAGTAATATTACAGGTAATATAAAATATATAATTATATTGTATTATTCTTAGCATCATATTGTACTACATTATTATTATCAATATTATATGTCTATTATAATCTAATATTACCTCTCGTATCCTAGGTCTTTGGAAAGAGTCCGATATTCAGAGTTGACGCCCTGATGCTTGGGCCTAATATGTATACGTGCTGCGTTGTTATGTACAAATAAATCTATAATAACTATAATAATAACTGCAATGAACACCTTTTTTGGCCAATGACAAATAGTGTATTTTTTTGTATTGTCGAAGGCTTTCATGGCCGGAATCACTGGGTTGTTGTGGGTTTTTTCGGGCTACATGGCCATGGTCTAGAGGCATTCTCTCCTGACGTTTCGTCTGCATCTATGGCAAGCATCCTCAGAGGTAGTGAGCCTCTGAGGATGCTTGCCATACATGCAGGCGAAACGTCAGGAGAAAATGCCTTTAGAACATGACCATATAGCCCGAAAAAAACCTACAATAACCCAGTGTATTTTTTTGCAACTGTGCATTGCATTCACCAGCAAATAATTATTTTTTTTGGAGTTCAGTGTTTTGAAAATCAATGTGTGCATTAAATTTAATGGCACATGAGACTGAAGAAAATACAAGTAGTTCTGAATTGCAAAGGCAAAGAAGAGGCAATGATTCCAATTTCTGCTAAAATGGAGGGACTACTATATGTATGTGTACTTCATCTGTGCATGAAAATGTATCACTAGTTGTCCCCATGGATGGTCAACACAGCAAGTTGTGTCTCCAACTTACAAGGCAGCCTGCATGGCTTCCTCTTCGGCTCGACGGACAGCAGCCAATTCGTCCTCCCTGGAGACGGGGCCGCTTCCCTTCTTCCCTTTGGCGTACCACGTCAGGTCCTTCCCCTTCTGCCACCGTCCCACTGGGGCCATCAAGGAATTTCCTACACGTTAGATAAAATAATAACAACACCATGTAACACAATGTTTGTTCCTGGGTTATAAATGCCATTTCCTAATTGGTTCTATCCTAAAAAACATGGGAAAAGTTTGCAAATGTGAGTAAATCAATAGGTACAGCTCCGGCAGGAAGGTAATGGCACTCCATGCAGTCATGCTGGCCACATGACCTTGAAGGTGTCTACGGAAAACGCCAGCTCTTCGGCTTAGCAATGCAGATGAACACCAACCCCCAGAGTTGGACACAACTTAATGTCAGGGGAAAACCTTTACCTAAACCTAAACCAAAGTTTGTACATGATGTTTTGGTGCTTGGCTTGTAAAATCATAACGTAATTTGACGTTCTATATGCTTTTCCTTAAAGTAAAGGTAAAGGTTTCCCCTCTGGGAGTTAATGCTCATCTCCATTTCTAACCCAAAGAGCCGGCGTTGTCCGTAGACACCTCCAAGGTCATGTGGCCAGCATGACTGCATGGAGCGCCGTTACCTTCCAGCTGGACTTAATGTCAGGGGAAATCTTTACCTTTAACCTTTATAGTTACAGTATTAGTTAGGCCTAACTTTGAACCAGAAACTATATTTATCTGACATTGAACAAGCCTCCAATTAACTGAGTCTACTGTATACTAAAATAAGAATAATAATAATCTTATGTATTTTTATAAAAACATATTAAAACACAGAGAACAGATATAGGATGCATCTGAACTGTCAAATTAATGCAGTTTGAGACCACTTGAACTGCCACAATACAATGCTATGGAATCAGGGGAGTTGCAGTTTGACAAGGTCTTAAGCCTCCTATGCCAAAGAGTGCTGGTGCATCACCAAACTACAAATCCCAGGATTCCTCAGCCTTGAGCCATATTGCTTAAAAGTGGTATCAGACGGCATTCACTCTACAGTGTAGATGTAGATCAACCTCATGCAATGGGAAGATATATTATGAAGCCATGCCTTCCTACCCAGGTAATTCTCCCTTTGCTTGTCGGTCTTCACATCTTCCCAGTTGAACTGGTCCTGCCCTCCTCTCACTCCGCCTCGGGAAGGGCCAAACATTGTGAGGTGCAAAACAAGAAATCCTGGGGTCTCTGGATTAAAGCATCCTCAACTGGACCTAGAAAATAATAATAATAACAATAATAATAATAGAGAAACAACTGAAAAGATGACATGATATGAGGATTTAAAGATCGAACTGCAAAGACTCTGGCACAGGCCAGTCAAGGTGGTCCCAGTGGTGATCGGCACACTGGGTGCAGTGCCTAAAGACCTTGGCCTGCACTTAAACACAATCGGTGCTGACAAGATTACCATCTGCCAGCTGCAAAAGGCCATCTTACTGGGATCTGCACGCATCATTCACCGATACATCACATAGTCCTAGAGACTTAGGAAGTGCCCGACGTGTGATCCAATTCAACAGTTGTGGACTCATCTTGTTGTGTTTCAAATAATAATAATAATAATAATAATAATAATAATAATAATAAAATGTATATAGAATTTAAAGATCGAACTGCAAAGACTCTGGCACAAGCCAGTCAAGGTGGTCCCAGTGGTGATCGGCACACTGGGTGCAGTGCCTAAAGACCTTGGCCTGCACTTAAACACAATCTGTGCTGACAAGATTACCATCTGCCAGCTGCAAAAGGCCACCTTACTGGGATCTGCATGCATTATTCCCGATACATCACACAGTCCTAGACACTTGGGAAGGGTCCGACGTGTGATCTAATATATTATTATTATTATTATTATTATTATTATTGAAAAGCTTACATGATATGAGGATTTAAAGATAGAACTGCAAAGACTCTGGCACAAGCCAGTAAAGGTGGTCCCAGTGGTGATCAGCACACTGGGTGCAGTGCCTAAAGACCTTGGCCTGCACTTAAACACAATCGGCGCTGACAAAATTACCATCTGCCAGCTGCAAAAGGCCACCTTACTGGGATCTGCACGCATTATTCGCCGATACATCACATAGTCCTAGACACATGGGAAGTGTCCGACATGTGATCCAATTCAACAGCCAGCAGAGTGTCTGCCGTGGACTCATCTTGTTGTATTTCAAATAATAATAATAATAATAATAATAATAATCAAACTGGAAAAGATGACATGATATGAGGATTTAAAGATCAAACTGCAAAGACTCTGGCACAAGCCAGTAAAGGTGGTCCCAGTGGTGATCGGCACACTGGGTGCAGTGCCTAAAGACCTTGGCCTGCACTTAAACACAATCGGCGCTGACAAAATTACCATCTGCCAGCTGCAAAAGGCCACCTTACTGGGATCTGCACGCATTATCCACCGATACATCACCTAGTCCTAGACACTTGGCAAGTGTCTGACATGTGGTCCTATATAACAGCCAGCAGAGTGTCTGCTGTGGACTCATCTTGTTGTGTTTCAAATAATAATAATAATAATAATAATAATAATAATAATAAATCTGGAAAAGATGACATGATATTAGGATTTAAAGATCGAACTGCAGACTCTGGCACAAGCCAGTAAAAGTGGTCCCAGTGATGATGGCCACACTGGGTGCGGTGCCTAAAAACCTTGGCCTGAACTTAAACACAATTGGCGCTGACAAAATTACCATCTGCCAGCTGCAGAAGGCCCAAGCGGATGGGGAACCAATTCATTTCAAATGGTATAGATATTTATTGGATAGGGTACAAGATGATATCACGGAAAGGAGAACCACATACACTCATGGATCTATTAAGGAGGACTGGGAGTCGAAATGGATATATATATATATAGGTAAAGGTTTCCCCTGACATTAAGTCAAGTCGTGTCTGACTCTGAGGGTTGGTGTTCATCTCCATTTCTAAGTCAAAGAGCCGGCGTTCTCCATAGACACCTCCAAGGTCATGTGGCCAGTATGACTGCATACAGCACTTCTTCTTCTTCTTAGGCGATCCCTCGTTGGATGAGTAAGATGGTCTTCCTTGATGACTATTTTTGTGGGTTTGTATGTGGCTGTGGAGCCCTATTCTTGACCCGCATCTTTTCCCACAGTGAAGGCATTGGTTTCCAGGTGGAAGGCGCTCCCGGTCGGGGTTGGCGTGACGCGCCTTCCTCCTGGCACGTTTCTCTCTTTCACCCTCCACTCGTGCCTCCTCGAATTCTGCAGCACTGCTGGTCACAGCTGACCTCCAGCTGGAGCGCTCAAGGGCCAGGGCTTCCCAGTTCTCAGTGTCTATGCCAGAGTTTTTTAAGGTTGGCTTTGAGCCCATCTTGAAATCTCTTTTCCTGACCTCCAACATTACGTTTTCTGTTCTTAAGTTCAGAATAGAGCAACTGCTTTGGGAGACGGTGGTCGGGCATCCGGACAACGTGGCCGGTCCAGCGGAGTTGATGGTGGAGGACCATCGCTGCAATGCTGGTGGTCTTTGCTTCTTCCAGCACACTGACATTTGTCCGCTTGTCTTCCCAAGAGATTTGCAGGATTTTTTGGAGGCAGCGCTGATGGAATCGTTCCAGGAGTTGCATGTGACGTCTGTAGACAGTCCACGTTTCGCAGGCATAGAGCAGGGTTGGGAGGACAATAGCTTTATAGACACGCACCTTGGTATCCCTACAGATGTTCCGGTCCTCAAACACTCTCTGCTTCATTCGGGAAAATGCAGCACTGTTACCTTCCTGCCAAGGCAGTACCTATTGATCTCCTTACATTTGCATGTTTTTGAAACTGCTAGGTGGGCAGAAACTGGGCGTAGCAGTGGGAGCTCACCCCTGCTCTCCAGATTTGAATCGCTGACCTTTCAATCAGCAAGTTCAGCAGCTCAGCGGTTTAATCCTGTGCCACCAGGAGCCAATATATATGTGTGTGTTGTGTGTGTATATATATATACATACACACATACACACACACACACATACACTAGCCATCCCCTGCCATGCGTTGCTGTTTTGTATTGTTTGTTTGCTATTGCTTTATTATTGATGTATTGCGGGTTCGGCCTCATGTAAACCGCACCGAGTCCCTTGGGGAGATGGTAGCGGAGTATAAACAAAGTATTATTATTATTATTTGCCGATACACCACAGAGTCCAATACAACAGGCAGCAGAGTGTCTGCTGTGCACTCATCTTGTTAAACCCCTGTGCCGGCAGGACTGAAGACCGACAGGTCGCAGTTTCGAATCCGGGGAAAGCGTGGATGAGCTCCCTCTATCAGCTCCAGCTCCTCATGCGGGGACATGTGAGAAGCCTCCCACAAGGAGGGTAACACATCAAAAACATCTGGGCGTCCCCTGGGCAACGTCTTTGCAGGTGGCCAATTCTCCCACTCCAGAAGCGACTTGCAGTTTCTCAAGTCACTCCTGACATGACCAAAAAAAAAATCTTGTATTTTGAATTATACATGGCATGGCTTGAGGCTGTGTACCTGATGGCTTAAAACATACAGTGAAAACACAATACTTTGGAAATGCACAGACATATTAATAAACACAGCAAAGATGGACACCAATGCTAACAAAATGTAAAGTTAGCATCCACAGATAATAACAACTTTCTGCATTTTTGCTTATTGTATTTGGGTGGCAATTGTATTGCATTTAGGTGGCAATTTTGCAACTGTAAACTGCAAAATCTTTATATCACTTAAACAGATTGCAAAGCTGGGCCAACACTAACAACAACAATTTGAACAGAGAAAAACCTAAAGCATCTACACTGCTGAATGAATGCAATTTGGCACCACTTGGAACTATAGCTCAATGCTAGTTTTGCAAGGTCTTTAGTTTTCTCTGCCTGTCTCCTCACTAAACTACAATTCCCAGGATTCCCTAGCACTAAGCCCTGGCAGTTCAAAGTGGTGCCAATCTGCGTTTATTCTACAGTGTAGATGCACCCATTTATGCATGATAGGAAAGTGAAATGGGGGAGAAGGGGTGCACTTACCAGGAAGGCAAACTTTCCCAGCAGGATCCGATCTGCAAAGCTCCCTCCTTTGCAAACTCACGTGCTGCTGCAAACAGGAAGAGCTTCCAGCACTGACTTCCGGCAGATCTGGGAGAGACCATTGGCTGCAAAAATATAGGGACAATGCAAGGGAAAACAAGAAGGCTGTTCTTCAGAGAGGGAGGGTTTCTCTTGAGAGATTTTGCACCAATGCATGATGCAAACAGTGCACAAGGATGATGCACAAATGCATGAGTGTCCATGAGGCAGAAATGCATAGGGATGATGGTGTAGAAATGGTGTGCATGATGCACAAGTGCATAGATTATCAGGGTACACAAATGCATGAGTGTCCATGAGGCAAAGATGTATGGGAAGTATGCATGATGCAAAAAGTGCATAAGGATGCTGAAGATGCACAAATGCATGACTATCCATGAGACAAATGCAAGCAGATGATGGTGTAGAAATGACGTGCATGATGCAAAAGCGCATAGATTATCAGGATACTCAAATGCATGAGTGTCCACGAGGCAAACATGCACGAGAATGATGCATGATGCAAAAATATGCACAAGGATGCTGAAAATGCACAAATGCATGAGTGTCCATGAGGCAGAAATTCATGCAAACGATGCTGTGGAAATGGTGTGTATTATGCACAAGTGCATAGATTATCAGGGTACACAAATGCATGAGTGTCCATGAAGCAGAAATGCATGTGGATGATGGTGTAGCCATGCTTGTGGAAGATAGTATATACATAAATATACTATCAGACCTCACTACCTCTGAGGATGCTTGCCATAGATGCAGGCGAAACGTCAGGAGAAAAATTTCCTCCAGAACATGGCCATATAGCCCGGAAAAACCTACAACAACCCAGTGATCCGGGCCATGAAAGCCTTCGACAATACATTATACATAAATATGTATTTTCTAGCATTTTGGGAATTGTTGCACTATCCGTGCTTTCGAAAGCTGCCCCAAGTGTCTTCGGGGGGATGGTGACGGGATATAACTAAAGTTTCAATTCCCTTTTAAAATTGCATCTCCCTCAATATTATTATTATTGTATGGTGCACAAATGTGTGAGAATGATGCATAATACAAAAAGTGCATAAGGATGAAGATGCACAAATTCATGAGTGTCCATGATGCAAAAATGAATGTGGATGATGGTGCACAAATGCATGGGGATGATGGTGTAAAATGCATGCGGATGGTAGTGCACCAATGCGTGATTATAGTGCATCATGATGCATAAATGCATGAGAATGGTGTACAATACAAAAGTGTTTTAGGATGATGTTGATGCTCAAGTGCACTAGTGTCCATGAAGCACAAATGCATGTGTATGATGGTGTTTTACCCACCTCTCCCCAT